ACGTGTACGACAGAAGTGAGCCACATCATACGTCCACATGAGCATGTCGTCAATGACGTCACCGAGACACCTAGCAAGCTAGCAAGTATGAGTGGTGGGTTGGAATGTCCCTGCACTTCACAATGCATGGGGCTGCATGCATCAGTCTAAACCACGAGGTTTATAGTAGTGCTTGCGTCTTTGCAGCATTCCTCATCAGACCAAAGCTCTGAAGCCAGTCAGCAAGACCACACAGTGGAGAATAGTGAGACCTAGCGTGCATGCACTGCACTCTGCAGTACCCGATTGACGGTGGGTGACCAACAACTTACTTTATTGTGACATTGCAGCAACACAGGGACACGACACATACAGTGTGTAAAGTGGTTGCATGCATATCCAGTGATCCACGTCTTCACACAGCCTACAATTGTAGTGCATGTACAGTGCTGCTCAAATAAGATCATGTCAAGGTAGTGAATGCCACCTTGTGGCCCAGGCTGCTTTCCAGCCATACAATGTAAACCTGCTAGCACTAAGAATGTGAAGAGGTGCAGGGCGCAAACTGGAATCGTGCAATAATAATTATTTTAATATAGCTATGAATAGGATGAAGGGCGCAGACATCACGCAACTACGTTACTTGTTTGACATGTATTACTGTGTATTGCGGCCTTCATCCTATTCATAGCTATATTAAAAGTATTATCTCCACGTAGGTTATTTGAATAATTATTTTACTGTGCAGTGAACTGCACTGTTCATGTACCTACTGCCTGCTGCCAGCCATGAGTATCAAACCAGGGAGAGGGGGGGGGGGGGGGGGGGGGGGAGGGGGATCTCATGATTTATTGCAACAGCAGGCACAAACACTCAACTAAAGCACTGATCCTTGTATCTCATCCGAATTCCTCTATAAGTAAACTCTAGAATACATCTTACTGTACACATGTGACAGAATAATTCAGATGACCTGCTGAGAGTCAAGATAAAAAAAGAGTGAAATACACATGAAAAGACGTAGTCCACTGACGTAGTCCACAATGACGACAAAGAGATGTAGAGTGTTGTTCGTAGAGTGAGCATGCGTTTGGCAATGTGTGCACGCACCGGAACAGAAATGATGCCTTTGAAAGAGAGCTCCATCACTCTGGCGTGTTGCGGGTGGTTCCGATCAGTGATACTAACCGGTCGCGAGCATAAAGGCAAACGAACATGAACAGTGGCTTACCATCGCTGCTGAGATTATGCATTGTCTTGCTCTCGTTGACCCGTCGGTTGTGCAGCTCAAGAGTTCTGGCATCGCAGTCCAGCGTGAAGTCTAGCACATCACCATCTTGCCACTTGGTGCAGTTTGCGGCAGAGCGCTGGTCACGTGTAACCTCCGCAATCCCGTCCATCAGTGAGTGCGACCACCACCAGTATCCAGTGTCCGACAGGCATTGGGTTAGACAGTCACCGTCGGCAGCAGTCGTGACGCCGATAGCCATATTCCCACTACCCAGGTCCTCTCCGAGAACCTGGACGGACCAACGGTGCGTGCCGCTTGTATACGGCTCCGTGCCAAGAACATTGTTGAATCCGTTGCGCGTGCCCGAGAAGTGAACTGCGAGACCAGAGTCCGACACGGTGATGTTGTGCGAACATCGCTGCTTGTCAAAGGCAAGCTTGTACATCACGGAGAACTCAAAGTCCCTCGCCAGACTGCCGGATCTGACGTGAAGTACGTGCCGTCCGGGTCTGGTCAGGCGCAGACGAAATCTGACTGTTCCTGGCGTAGTGCCTGCGGATAGCTCTGCAACCGGTGAGGAACGGCTCCCAGGGTCACTTGATGGCGTCGTGACACTGACCTCCAGAACCTTCAAAGACTCCTCGGAATCCGCCACCACCGCCTCAGAGGAGCTCGACCGCTGCACAAGGTGGAGGTGTGCGGTGCACTCCTGTCCGACTTCAAGGGGACTGGGAAACTCAACACGGCAGCGTTGTAAGTCGATGCCAGGCCCTGATGACACGGAAACCATGTCCTCGATCCATTGGTCCAGCCTTTGCAGGTCCTTGCATTCAGCTCTTGCGTGGATGTTGCCCGAAGTACTGGGTGTCCTCTGCTCCAGGTCAATATCTGACTTGAATGACTTCATCTTGCTCAGCACCAGTGGTGCAAGCAGCATGACTTCAGCATCACAACCAACACTCTCTTCACTAGTGAGAAACTTTCCTATCTCAACGGCGGTTGTGTTCTTCTGTTCAATTATGTCCAGGCGATGAAGTTGGTTTTCAGCAGCTCTCTGCTGCTTCCATCTCACTGCATCCACCAGTATCAACAGTTCTGCCTCTCGTTGGTCCAGCAGAGACCTGACTCCCGAGAATGCCTCCGTGATCACCTTTGATGCCGCCGTGGCTTCGTTGTTGCTGTGCGTGACCTCCTCTTCCAGAGCACTTTTCATCGTAGTCAGCTTGGAGAGAGGAATCTCTGAACTGGTGTGAGCAGTTTGCCATGCAGTGTGCCCATCATTAGCTGGCAATTCATTCCCCAGTACAACCCTCTGCTCCGCAGCCGTTTCAGACAAAGAGACAACGTCGTGCTGTCTGTGACCTCTAAGCAGGCATTGCTCGCAAGCCACGACTTGGCATGTTCGACAAAAGTCGGTCACTTCGTGTTTGCCATGCAATGGGCAAGAGTATTGCACTTGCTTGCGTCCAGTGTCTGAGTTACCTGAACTCGTTGCATTAAGCTCAGTCACGCTGTGCGTACGAAACACTCTTTTCTTGCTGTGGTCCTGGGCGTGCGTCCAGCACAGGAATGCCCCATCGCAATCTTCACATTCGTGTGTAGCGGCTTTCGCTGCGTTCGTTTCGCAGAAATCACACACGGGTATGTCATGCTCCCCGCAGGGAAACTCCTCGCTCGGTTCGCTAGTCCCAAATCGGCTGGACACGAGCTGTTTGCTGATAGGGACACTGGGAAATCCAGGCTTGGTCTCTATGCTGCATGCTTCACATTCGACACAGCCGCCGGGTGTTAGATGCTCCTTTAGACAACGCGCACAGCTCACATGCAGACAGTGCAAGAAACGGCCATCTTCTGGCTGCTTGGCACTACAAAATACACAGCTTTTTAGACCGGGCTCGCTTGCGGAGAGAAGAGTAAGTGCACTAACGGAGCTGCACGCTGCCGTGGCCATGGCTCACTCGTACTCGTAGTAAATCTTACTAGTCTTGTAGTACTACCGGTACTGCAATTAATAATTTCACAAAATGTGTACAGTGTAGCCTTTAGGCTTTAGTTTAGTAAAACTTTAGGTGTTCTTTCACTGAATCTCTTTTTACGCCCAAACACATGACACATATTTGTGACATAATAAATATGACACACAATAATCAACAATAATTTTTTTATGCCTACTGCGTAGATCTACTTCTAAAACAATGTAAGTAAAGTATTAGTTCTAGTTCTACTTCTCGGACAGCCAGGTGTAGTGGTGGTGTAACCCCACACGACGTAACGACTTACTAACGTTACCATGGTTACGTGGCCAGCTAGCTGTGGTCTACCACTGCTGACTGTCGTGCTGAGTACCACGTCTACCCTTTGCGTACTACTGAGTCTGTAGTCTCGGTCTTTTCTAAGTACAGTCATGTAACACGTTAGTTTTACTAAGTACACCATGGTAGCTCTATACAGTGGTCCCTCTATAATCCGGCACTCTTTGTGCCACGGAAAATGTGCTGGATGAGGGAGGGTGCTGCGATGTGCATGAAGAGGACATTTTGGCTACTGAGAAATTGTACTGCTGGTTTATCTAGGGTGCTGGATTATAAAGTGCTGGATTACTGAGAGAGGGACGACTGTACTACACTGAGTCTGGACTGTAGATCATGCATGGTAGATCATGTATTCCGGCTAGCTGCTCAAGTACATGTACATTCATGCTCAACTGAACGTTGCTTAGCTGCTCACAAAAAGGAATGGCTGGACACGGACAGTCTCTAAACAGATATGCGCGTAGAGCTCATGTTTGAGTGACAGAGCTAGAGTCAGTCATGATGATGCGAACCAATACAATAAATTGAATAATGTACATGTACATTCTATCACTCGAGGATTCGTGCTGCGTTGCTGTGTTATGCAGCCATAACATGATCTCGCATTCTCCTCTGTAGTGTTGACTGTTGAAGATGAGAGCGAAGAAATGGTGTTCTGAGAACAGTGAAGCTTGTTCGTTGGTCAGGTTTGCTTTTTCACCAGTGGATATTTACTATTTACTTATTTACTCAGTAGCTGCCAAGCTGAATGCTTTCCACCGGAAGCAACTGAGAAGTGTTGTTGGAGTTCATTGGCCTCAAGTCATCTCAAGCGCTGACCTGTACGCTAGGTGCAACACCGAACGAGTATCCGTCTCAATTGCAAAAGCAAGATTCGGCCATGTCCTGCGGTTGGACGGGGGGGGGGCTATTCGGCCATGTCCTGCGGTTGAACGGAGACGTCCCAGCGCATACAGCAATGCAGGCTTACTTCAGTGTGCGGGACCTGACGACCGGCTACAGAGGCCGACCGAGAACAGAACTGCCAACCGTCCTACACAATGATCTGACGAGTATCAGGAGGTCGCTCAACAACCGAACAGACCTCTGCAGATTGCGTGAAATTGCGTGCCCGAGATCCGGGTGGCGTCAACTGGTTAATGATATCATCCAGAAGAAATAATGTGTACCACTGATCAGGTCTAACTTACTTATGGCTACTTGCAATGTGCTAGTGCTGCACCAGCGTGTTGCTATGTTAGTGTCTTTGAATAGTATGCATATGATCAAGTGTTTGTTCACCTATATTTTCCCTTTTTTGGTTTTGCTTTCTTTCTCTTTTTCTCCCCTTCTCTTCTGGTATCATGTCTAACATTGGGTGTGGCCCAAGCGAAGGCTAGGCTAACGCCGATGCCAACGCGAAAGGGCTGATGATGATGATTATGATGATGATTTCTTTTGATATTTTCTATCCACGTGATCTGTAGACAACATGAGTGTTAGGTTTGATTGAGTGAAGTGATTGAGCCATTTCAGAAGAATGCAGAATATTCGTCCGTTCGCCAAAGCAACATTCGAGGGAATATTCGTTCGTAGAAAACACCATTAATTTTGTTGCATCACATTCCTAGTACGTAGTATGAAGTCAACACTAGATGTATCACAACCGGCAAACCAAAGAAGGTATTCAATCCATAAAAAAAGGAGTCAAATAAAAGCAGTCAATATAGCCCTAAGGAGTGAAATTTGTACTTCAGTAGGAATATTTGACGGCTTAGGTATAGCAAAAATCTCATGATGGGAGTCAATACTAAGGGAGTGATAATAATTATTACATTGTACATGTATTTAGGGGTAGCAGCATAGCTATGGGTAGCTAGTACTAGAAGCCCTTGACGGGGACTAGCCTACAATGTAGATCTACATGTAGTGATGGTCGAGAAATTGGCAGATTCTGCTTGAAACGCACTGAGATTGCCTCAGCCATACTAGCCCTTACCGGCTAATGCCCGCAGAACATTTGACAGAATTTTGTAGTTTTTCTGTTGCATGCATGTTTGGTATGTGGATAAAGAAATGTGCAGTATGAATGAATATAAATGAAACTGAATATCCATAGGCTTCAAGTTGACGGAGTTGAAATGGAAAAGTCTGAAGAGAAATGGGAGCGGAGTGCAGGAGACTGGACTGAGTGTGGTTCATTGTACAAGTATGTGATCATGTCCTTGGAGGCTTGGATATCATCATGATCATTGTAGCCTTTTGTGGGCCTAGGCTATACATGTAGCTTGCAGATTTGTTTGTATTGTATTGTATTATTTTACTTGGGCATTCGCAACAGACCCTAAGGTCTTCTTACGGGGTGTCCAAGATGAATAGCAGATGTAGAAGAGCAGCTGATAGCGTAAGCCACCGCTTTAGTGCAGTGTGTGAATCAGGGCTTTGCCGAAGACCACCGTCATGATACAGACATACGCGTACGCTGAAGACGTTTGGCGGGCTGCTGCAGAAATACAAAATATAGATGTACATGTACATACAACACGAGCAGACATTTGGCCAAAAAATGTACTTGGACTTCCTTTTGATCTTGTCGATGTCTCTTATTGTTGTGACCTTTCCACAGTATTATGTTGCATTGTAAAAAAATTTAAAACTGGTTTGAGGGAAAGAGAGGAGAAAAGGGAAGTGTAAAAATTAAAAAAATTATAAAAGAAAAAGAAAAACTTAGAGACTATGCACCGCAGTGTGCGGAGCGACTTAGGCGTTGAACTATACATGTAATTCATCTACATGTACATGTACATGTACATGACTCAATCTGCGGACAGAACTGTTTTGTCCTTTGTGGACTCATCGGCGCAGCACAGAGAAAATGAGGCCGAACCTGAAAGCAGTGAATTTTTTTCCAAAGCCAGATTTAATGTAAACCTGGCTCGAACGTACCTTGCCAGAGTGCTCAAACTGACAAGTCAGTGAGCACTGCATCATGCAAACAGCAAAGGCACTACCCCACATGAGAGTGCTCAACTGCTACAAGAGCAGTCATGGTCATGTATAGCCGCCCAATTACTACATGCAGTACCAAGCAATCATCACAAACTGCTAAAGGCTGACAGGCGGTCACGACTTCTATTAATTTTCTACTCTCACGTCACGGCTAGCAGAAATAGCATACAGAGTTCAATACACTGTGCGCGGTGCTAGCAAAGGGATATTCCCTTCCTAGGAAGTGTCATGAATACTTCCAAGTAAGTGTCCATTACTTATTAGCGGAATCACTGTCACAATAGGACTGAACCATTCCTGACGCCAACAGTCCATAACCCCACGTACTCTTGGTGATGCCCTGATATTGCTCACAACAATTTCCGTTCATTCTGTGGATAATGAGTGATAATTATACAGGTGCATGTACACGAGCTTTGTGTACCCTTTTTTGGACTGAATTAGGACAAACGCCATTGTCTCGACAATGCTTTAATTTGGAAAGCAATGTTGAACGGAATGCTTCTAGCATTTTTCTACAAGCACTTCGTTCAACAATTTCCGTTCTTTCAATTTTCACCAACCGCCCCACCATAACTGCGATCTTCAGCCGACCTCGACTCGTGGCTACAGCACACCACCAGCATAAAGCGACGCATCCGTTGGTGCTAAAATTAATTCCTTGGTACAGCAGTTTCGAGTATAAAACTCTCGCCAGTGAAACTATGTAGATCTTTCGAAATGATGAAAGATCCTAACTAAGATAGGAGACATCTGTCCGTGAATTCAAACGCATGCTACGCGTATTTTACTTCGGTTAAAATGGCTTTCGTAACCTGCTGATGAGGCTGGATAGAATCATGCTACGATGCCCCCCGACTTGTACATGTAAATTTGAGATCCCTTTTTCTGCTCGTCTTAACCCTGCCTCCTCCCCTCATTGCTACTTCCATGTTCGTATTTTTGTTTTATCTCTTTTTCTCTTCATTTCTGACTCTTCTTACTGGTTGTCATCGCTCTCATAATATTGGGCAGAACTGCCCGTTTGACATGCGATGTAAAACAACAACAACAACAACAACAACAACAACAACAACAACAACAACAACAACAACAGCAACAGCAACAGCAACAGCAACAGCAACAGCAACAGCAACAGCAACAGCAACAGCAACAGCAACAGCAACAGCAACAGCAACAGCAACAGCAACAGCAACAGCAACAGCAACAGCAACAGCAACAGCAACAGCAACAGCAACAGCAACAGCAACAGCAACAGCAACAGCAACAGCAACAGCAACAGCAACAGCAACAGCAACAGCAACAGCAACAGCAACAGCAACAGCAACAGCAACAACAACAACAACAACAACAACAACAACAACAACAACAACAACAACAACAACAACAACAACAACAACAACAACAACAACAACAACAACAACAACAACAACAACAACAACAACAACAACAACAACAACAACAACAACCGCAACAACATGCCCTTACCCACACTCCGGTTGCAGTTCACTTCATCCACGCAGCCTGTGGCCAAGGTCGTGTCCTCGGATACGGCTGGAGTGGGTAAGAGAGATCATAAGCACTTAACATGCCAATGATATCAATTAGAACAACTACATGTATATCAAGAACAAGCATACATGTACATGTAAATTCGTATACAACATTGGAATTGGGAGATTTTAGCCAGGCACAGTGCACACAGACGCATTTGCAATGTAATTCACCCTGCGCCAATGCGTTCCAAACCTACTGGCACACTCTCTTCTTCTGACTTTCACTAACTCTCGCGATAAAAGGACCAGCCATGACTTCGATACTAATAGTGATATTCCTCCTAACAAGCTGCTACAAAATTACATAGTACTGGTGCAGTCCAGAGGAGGAAGGCTCCTGAAATCTTGATCTTCCCCTGGCTCAACGTCCGACTCTGAAAATCTATTCCATTTAAAAAAAAACTCTAAAGTTATATTGCAAATACTGGTATACTGGCAAATGCTGGTAGCCCGAGCTCATACATGTACATGCAGTCGCCGAGTCTTACCATGACAACCACCGGTGGAGCGTATCCCTGTTCCAGTATAGCCAGATCGGCATATGCATAGGAATGTGGCTCCACGCCTTGCACAGTAGGAGTTGTGTGAGCACAGGTATGGGTTCTCCTCACAATTATTTGAGTTTTCTGCAGGGGCGATATTGACGCCGGTAGTTGGGTTCGGATTCACACCGGAACTGGAACTAGTTGTGCTGTAGCCGGTAGTTGGGTTCGGATTCACACCGGAACTGGAACTAGTCGTGCTGTAGCCGATAGTTGGGTTCGTATTCACACCGGAACTGGAACTAGTTGTACTGAAGCCTATAGTTGGGTTCGTATTCACACCGGAACTGGAGCTAGTTGTACTGTAGCCGATAGTTGGGTTCGGATTCACACCGGAACTGGAGCTAGTTGTACTGTAGCCGATAGTTGGGTTCGTATTCACACCGGAACTGGAACTAGTCGTGCTGTAGCCGATAGTTGGGTTCGTATTCACACCGGAACTGGAACTAGTTGTACTGAAGCCTATAGTTGGGTTCGTATTCACACCGGAACTGGAACTAGTTGTACTATAGCCGATAGTTGGGTTCGTATTCACACCGGAACTGGAACTAGTTGTACTGAAGCCGATAGTTGGGTTCGTATTCACACCGGAACTGGAACTAGTTGTACTATAGCCGGTAGTTGGGTTCGGATTCACACCGGAACTGGAACTAGTTGTGCTGTAGCCGATGGTTGGGTTCGGATTCACACCGGAACTGGAACTAGTTGTACTATAGCCGATAGTTGGGTTCGTATTCACACCGGAACTGGAACTAGTTGTACTGAAGCCGATAGTTGGGTTCGTATTCACACCGGAACTGGAACTAGTTGTGCTGTAGCCGATAGTTGGGTTCGGATTCACACCGGAACTAGCCGTACTGTAGTTAGCTCTAAACCTGGTACGGACCTGGTTGATTGAAGTAGCCACATCGTTATCAATAGTCATTTTGCTGCTGGTTGACGTGGGCGATGTCGTGGGCGTTGGAGCGGCGGAAACCATGGAAACTGTTGGGGCGAGATCTGGACCATGATAGAATAGCAAGACACGGAGAAAAGCAGCCAGCACTGCAAGCTTAGATCATCCTGATGGGGATGTCCAGTTTGGAAAATCTAGCGAGTACTAACATGCGGGGTCATCGGACTACTCATCCCATGCCCATACAGCTTGCGAACAAACAATAACAAGAGGATGAGAAAAGAGGATGAAAAAATGCTCTTATTATTGGTTGAACTAGCTCTGCCTTTCGGTGTCGAGCACTCTATTGGACAGCCTGGAACCTCTCTGTTCTACCGGTTGCGTACGTTTAGGTAAATTCTCGCCAGACATCAGTTCGGTGTAGAATGTTCCGCGGCACCTTCTATAATCTATGTTGTCGCCCGGTCACTACTCTGGTCTTTATTCTAGTCACAGTGCATGCCTGCATGCCTGCAACCGTTGTGCCATACGCGAATGGAACACTTTTTGTGCTACATGTAGCGTTAGGAATCGAGTACTTTCATTGACTGTGTCATCATTGTCTATAGCCACAATATGAGTTACATGTTTGAATAGTTTAACGCCATGATAATAGTGTACTGCCGTGATTCACACATTTACTTCGTGGGTATTATATAAACCTGCAACCAGATAGATCTCATTTTTAGTTGCGTGATGATTGCCTCGTGCGTGAACCTCGGAGTCACAACGATTTCTTCATCCTCTTCTCCGTGTAAGTAGCTCTGCCCTTGACTCTTGAGCATTCCTTTCGACGACTAGTCTAGGACCTTTCTGTTTTATTGCCTATTAGTATTAAACCTGTACCTTTGTGCATGATAACATAGAAGTCTTGCCGCTGTGGTTGGGCTACGCCTATGGAGCAGGCGAACGCAGCCATGACCCCATCAAATGCCGGCATGATGACTTGGAAGCTGTACAGATAGCCGGCGACGGGAGGCTGATGCTGCACAACGTACGCAGGTGCTAAGCTGCCAGCCTTCGCCGGCATGGGCACCATTGCCACGCGTCGGTAGGTTAGTTGAGGATGGTTGGAGTTGCACAACGGGCTTTCCACGCGATCGCCAACTTCGGCGTAATCTGCATGGATATGGAGCACCATGACGGAACACATGTGTCATGTAGACTGTCAGAATTGTCACGCAATGGCTGTAATCCCTGTTGCGAATGATGACTAATGCGCAAGCCCTAAAGAGTGCCAGGAAAGGAACTCCCGAACTGTCTAAATAATTAGACAGGCTTACTTTCTCTCTCTCTCTCTCTCTCTCACACACACACACACACACACACACATACACACATACACACACACACGCACACACACGCACACCACATACGCACACACACACACACACACACCATGTGCCACACACACCTTGACCTTGACCTTTGACGCCCATCGCCGGAGGCGATGATAGCAATGCTACGGCACACACACACACACACACACACACACACACACACACACACACACACACACACACACACACACACACACACACACACAAACACACACACACATACAAACACACATAAACACATACACACTCTTTCTCTCTCACTCGTTCACTCTATCTCCCACAGCTCTCCTAGCCCTGCGATCATACAGGCGTTATCATCATTGCACACCGAGATAGATAAAGTAATAATATTGAAATTTTAGATAGCCCTAGGCTAGAGCCTACAAGGGACTTATCATTTCGATCAACTTTGCACAGCGGCCGCGCCGGTCGATCTTCATATCAGCTAGAGTGCACAGAGAACCCAACTGAATGTTGAGACAGAACAGTTACATTGCGTAGCCTGCTTCAACTTCCAGGCTGCTTGAGATCAGTGGTCCGTGTCGGAGTACAACTAGTTCAGGCAACATGGAAGCCGTCAGAAGAATGTTCCTTTCCAAGAGCCAGCTTCCAGTGGAAAGCTTTCTGCATGCACTGGTGGTAGTGTGGGACACGGCAGCTGTAACTCCATAGATATTCTACATCACCTGAGTAGCCGTGAAAAGTTCGAACAGGGCTTGGCCTCTCAGTACAGACTCCTGCACGTACATGTACATGTGCCGGTACATCGAAATAGAAACAAGCAGCGATCGTAATGGTTCATAATACTACGTCTCAGTGATTCCATAGTGCACAGAAGGTGGGGGATGCTATTTAGTACATGCATGTATGCTTTTTACTCAATAGCTTGACGCTTTCGCGATCACACAGCAGCAGGCGATTGTTTGTTTCCTCAATTGTTACTGGTTTGATCAGTGCATAACTTAAAGAAACAAATAATAATTACATTATATGTTGGGCCGATGATGGGTTGCGAGACTATCGATCAACACGCACACATAATAAACGCAATCCGCAGGATACAGTCTGTACAGGGCCCAGGGATTGGAGGGACATTTGGTGCGACGCTGAGGCACGTTCTGTTGAAGCGATCGCCTGTCAGACCGCACATTGCACATCATGCACTGTGGAATGTGTTATGTGATGAGAAAGTGTTGAACCCGCGGCACTGTGAGCCCGTGGAAGAGCATGGATGGTGCTGGATCCACAGCATTATCTACTGGGTTCATCCAATGAGTTATATATTTGGGTTCATGATCCTTTGCCAGACACTGATGATAAACAGCCATTGGACGAAACGCTTGAAACCTCTACTTGTGCTAGTATTCTGTTTTTGGCACTTTGTGGGTTGTTCGAAATGTGAAATCAGGGCAGAGGACAAGGTACAGGTGTACTGTAGGCCGGCATACATGTACATATACATGACTGTACTAACAGGAGAGTAATGAACCTGAGGCTACAGGAAATGCATCTCCTACGGTTACCCACCCCCAACGTTAAACTCATGATATCAGGCGTCCCTCACCTTGCAATGGTCCATTACCGGGAAGGTAGGCTCTCTCTTGGCCCAGCGCTGAGATGATACCAGCTTGCGCGACTGCGATCACAGCCAACAACACAGACTGGGGCACAGGTAGCATCCTTAGCGGCTGTTAGTGAAGGAGGCAGGTAAGTAAGTTGCCAACACGGCCGTGTGCGCGAAGGCCAAGTTCACGATGAAAACAGTATTGGCAGCTCGATGAGGGAATCTGCTGTCTTCATCTCATGAACGCCATTACCGCCTGTTCCAAACCTTAAATCTTTTGGATGTGAGAGACTACATCACGAACGCCACTACTCGTAATCCCAGTCACTGCTACATGCTACACTGGGCAGTTAGTAGGATTGACCTCCCCCCCCCCCCCCCCCCCCCCCCTGGCTAGTTACGCTGGGTTCCGGTGTGACACGTGTACGTTACGGTCGTTTATGCGCTAGTACTACTAGTAATAGTACGTGATTGTACTGTATCACGCAATTCGCCATAGAGTAGACTGCATGTACATGTAAGTACATGATTGTATCATGTACATGTAGGTCATTCATGGTTGCACTAAGAAACGTTCGCACGTCCACGTTACAACCGGCTATACAATTGCGTTGAGAACCACAACCACCTTTATAGGAAGTTTCGCTCGTGCCAGGCCACCACCATGCCTGTAATACCAGGGTGGCAGGTGCAGTGCCTTAACGGAGAGGGTGAGGTGGTAACTCTCACAACCAATGCCTGACAAGGGGGCGGACCTCGTTAGCTGCATCCAATACAAGTACTTTATAATTCGAATCGGATTGAGAGCCAAGTATTTAAGTGAAAAAAGAAGGCCCAAAGGTTTACAAGTTATCCGTTGTTTGTGTCCAACACTAACACGTTTAAGCAAGATACCTGTTGGTCAGAACGTGCAACAATTAGCACAACAATAACTTATGTGATACTGACATTCATGGACCTGATGCTTAGCTGCATCACGTCTAGAATGCGCAAACCTGCAGCCTTCCAACTTACTTACTTGGAAGGTTCTAAGTTACGAAATGACGTAAGAAAGGGGAAGATGAGGGCACTCAAGACGAGGACACGGTAAACATCACAGAGAACTAAGAATGTTAGTTATGACAAAGTGATCATAGATGACGAAGGACGAAGGACCACGGCACAGGACGGCCACGGTCTTACGTTATCTCATAACTTTGAACCCTCCAAGTTGGAAGCCTGTTGGTTTTCGCATTCTAGACGTGATACAGCTAAGCATCAGGTCGTTGAATGTCACTATCACATCAGTCAGTTCTGTGTTAATTGTTGTACGTTCTGACTCACCGGTATCTTGCTTAACCGTGTTAGTGTTGGACATAAACAACGGATAACTGGTAAACCTTTGGTCTTCTTTTTTGGACTCGGATGGAGAGCCAAGGATAAATTTATAGGAAAGAAAAGGACCAAGGAACTACACGTTACGCTGTAATGTATCGTCATCGACATGCGTGTACATTCGCCATTGAACCGCCAACGTCCACTCCTTCACAGCTTAGACTTTCAGCTTGTGCTTGCCTTGGTTGCGCTCCTTCCCCTCCTTGCGTTATTTCTATAACTTAGAACCTTCCAAGTTGGAAGGCTGTTTGAGTGCGCATCCAAGATGTGCCAGAGCTGATAGCCAGTTAGTTTTAGAATGTCAGCAGATCTACCGTAGGTTTATTATTACTCGAAGTATTATTATTCTCAAATTTTTAATAGGGCAATCCCCACAGGCCCAAGGCCGTTTTACAGGGTACCCTAGGAAAGCAAGTACTGATTTGCGGAATAAGTGCAATGAAGAACATAATAGGGCCTCAGCAGGGAGCGCGTTCCAGCGGTCAGAGCAGAGGAAACCAACTGAAAATAAACCATAACGAATTTTGACTTTGGGTAGAGCGAGAGACAAGGTAGTCTGAGAACGAATGGAAGAATTAGAGTGTGTTGAAGCAGAGCGGGTGCAAAAGCCGCAAAACAGGAGCTGGTGCACGATACAGTAAGATATACAATCATGTACATGTAGGTTGCTGGAAACAATTCAAAAACTAAGGTCTTCATCGCTGCTGTTCCTGATGGGAGACTTCAACGCAAAACTTGGGAAACGACCACCCAGTGACTGCCACTCCGTATCCTATGCTGGTTCACACTCAAGGGGCCATCGCAACTACAGCGGCCAGACTTTGGCTGATTTCGCGTCCAGCAATTACCTATTTGCCTGTAACACGGCGTTTCAGCACCGTGCAGAACATATCACCACATGGACAGGCTGGCGCCACAACCCTAGTGGAGGTCCACCTTTACCCATTTACAACCAAATAGATTATATCCTTTGCCGTCACAGTGAAAGGTTTGTGGTGACGGATGCCAGATCATACGCCGGGACAAGCTTAGAAAGCGATCACCGTCTTGTGCTGGCAAACCTCAACCTGACTAAGTTGTACAAGAAGCTCAAGAGGCCGCCAGTAGCCATATCCAGCAACGCAAAATTCAATATATCGGAATTTAGTGACCCGACCAAGAAAGCAAAGTACAGAGAGGCTATCAACGAACATCTACAGGACCTCGGCAGAGAGCAGGAAGGTGTCAATGCGGAGCAACATCTGCAGTATATTGTGAACGCTATGAGTGAGGCAGCAAACACATCGGTGGGCCGCGTCCCTAAACCAAACAAGACGCATAGAAATGGCTTCAGCGGGGAAATTGAAAAGCTAGCAGCAGAGAAACGCAAACTGCGTCTCGACATTACGGTGTGCAGAGATGGAACGAAGGTAAAAGAAATGAAGACGCGACGCAACAGGCTGGCACACCAAATTCGCCGGGAATGCCTCAAGTTAGCATCGACTCGACTGGACGAACGTGTAGCTGAAATAGACCAAATGAAAGACGACGCGAAAATATTCAAAGCAACACGACTACTGCGCCGACAGCAGCAGTCACCAGTTGTGGTTGAAGACTCTGATGGCAAACTCATTGCACAACCTAGTGAATCAGTCGAAGCATTAAGGCAACACTTCCGTGCTATATTCTGTGATCCTGCTCTGGAGTCATCTAGGCTCTTACGGACAGAGGAAGACCTTAAAAACCCTATAAAGCAGCCAGAGGTACATGCCGCAGCTAAGCGCTTGAATAATGGCCGAGCTTCGGGACCAGATGGGATACCTGCTGAACTTATCAAATATGGAACACCAGCACTGTTCTCGAACATTGCCACTACATTCAACAATTATGCCAAAGACAAATCACTCAAGCTAGGCGATGGGCTACTGATCCCGATACCAAAGCCGGGAAAGAAAAGAGGTCCTCCTGGAAATGTAAGGCCAGTTACCCTGTTGAACACCCTACGTAAACTTCTTTCATTGGTCATCTAGACCGGCAGCCAAATTTGAGAAATCGCTCGTATCAACAGGCGTGCTTCCTTTTTCTGCTGACAACCTGCAATTTCTACAGTGCGTTGACTATACTTGTAGGAAGCTGAATCTTTTAGTTGGCCATGCTAGAGCTGTGCAGAAACAGACATACCGAGAGATTTTCTGCACTGGAATTTCACAAATCTCCGGCCATTGAAGCACCTTCTTCAAGCACTCAAGACCCTGAAAAATTCAAAAATTCAAGACGTTGCCGGTTCAAACCCCACATCGGGCGACTTTTTTTCTTTTGTTTGGAACTGAATTGCAGTGTTCTCGTGGTATTTAGCCAGCAATTTTAGCAGTATGTCAAGCCGATCGTAATTAACTTCTTCACAGAAGTAAGAAAATTCACTGAATCCCCATCAGGACCATCAATCCGGAAGCGTTTGTAAGAGCAAGCATATTCAGGCTTTCCGTCTTCTTGCGAGAATAAAGTAAAGACAAGACAATACAAAAGAAATGTGAATTAGAGTGTCAACTGCCAGCACAAAGGATCACTAGCGAATCATCTGCCAGGCATATGTAATGGCCAGCTGTATTGATGTTTACACCTAGTCAGACATCGAAAACAGCAACAACTAAATCGACAACATCAACAACAATAGCAGCAGCAGCGGCACACACACGTTTGACAACCCCACCCATACATGCACAAACACACACACACACACATTAACACTACTACTACTATTACTACTATATACAGCTGCAATTGCTGGCCACGCCGCTCCCAAGATGTGGGAGACGACGTCACGGAAGAAGTTCATCAATGACAGTACGGCTGATGCCGTCCCAGATCCTGGGGACGCCGAAATTGCCTGTTGCAGCGTGGGCACTCATGGCGGAAACACACACACACACACACACACACACACACACACACACACACACACACACACACACACACACACACACACACACACACACCTATCCCCTGTCCCGTCCTGTCCCGTTGACCCATTGGCGTTAACGGATACTTCGTCCCATCCGGGTAGGAGAGATGATGGACAATGTTTCCGATGGTGAGTCTGGTCTTGGATGTGTCGAAATAGTCAACTGAAGATGTATACACACATGCACACAGCCGCACACACACGCACACGCACATGTGTACACACACTTAGGTACATCAAACATGTCTTCCATTAAATTTTTATGCTAAAGTCAATTTCACACGATCTGACAGTTTACAACGGCCTGGTATAGCAGCGAATGCTATGCTCAAGAAATGAACCCATCCAGAAAATTGTACACGCACCTGCGTAGACTGTAGTAGTAATGATGACAGGCTCGTCATGTGGCTGCATCATTCTGATCAGCGGGCTCAGGATCACTGTCAGATCCACAGTCACTGGAATCGGAGGAATCCTCCACAGACTCCGAAGTGGTGGTGCTGCTTGTAAGGTGGCTGGAACCAGGTTTGGTGGAGCAAGTTCGACAGCCACATACATCTGTGCAAGGCAACATGGACTTGTGGCATGCACACCTCTGGCTGGAGCAGTCTCCGACCACGCAGTTGCACTTCACCATGGCTAGAACCTCCTTGGGTGCCACGTTGGTTAATAGCCAAGTAATCTTCAATACACCTGCACCACACGAAAAAAAAACGCCAGACATTGGGCATTGTCCAAAGTCTGAAAAAAGGAAACCGGGGATACTGGATGAGTTCTAGGTGGAACTGTTTGAATACTCGCACTAAGTAGGGAACATAATATTATTAAAGTTTGAAGGTGGGCTCAAAATCTTGATGGTGAATGCACATTTGGGAGATGTACGGTGCATTATCGTTATACATCAGTAGAACAGAAAGATGACGGGGGGGGGGGGCATTGGGTGGGGTGGTGGTGGTCGGGGAGGACGGACCATGTCCGGCCAATTTTGAAATGACTGGACATCGGGCCCGGCCATCTCACATTCCTTTGCATGCACTGACCTGCCTCGATAGTCCATCCCTGGCCATCAGGACTGGGTTGGTCGGGTTGGCGTTGCAACGCAGACTTCCAGATAGCTGCCTGGTAATTGGCACGACGTGCGTGCTGGAGAAGGGCGTCCTCGCAAGGTGGAAGTTGCCTTGGGTCTCGTGCCTTGCTGGCATCGCAGAACAGCTTGTACCGCAAGCCATTGACATCGGCAGAGGAGCCTGTGGCACCGTACAGTGCACATACAAACTGCTTGCATCCATTGAAAATGGACTCCTGCATTGCAAAACTCTGCCCAAGAGCTGCCATTGCACCCGCGAGGTTGCCATTTCCCTTAACAAGCTTCAGGCCACGGGCTTTGCCTTTCCCAGAAAAGGCGCTGATTGCATCACATCCGGTGAAAGCATGGAGCCCTATCAGAGCGCCGCAGACTGTCGGGCCAAGCTTGTCGGCAATTGCAGTGACATTCAGCACTCTCCTCTTGGATTTCTGGCCAGTGAGGATATAGACAGTTCCATGTAGAGATGCTGAATGCGCTAGAGCCAGGACAAAGACATCAGTGTCTTGCGAGAATATGCAGACGGAAGATGCACCACGGCAGAGGGAATGCTCGGCATGCAAGAACATGCGCGTGTCCGCTTCTTCGTGCGTGCACTCGAGCAACGGTTCGACAGATGCGCTGAACTGGCCATCATCCTTGGCCTCCAGACGCCAGGACTTCACGCCAACAGTCACGTAGATGCTCTGGCCAGGATGTAGTAGAAGAGCAGCTTGGCGTTCTGCCCACTGGTCGGCGAAGAACTGCACAAGATCAGTCTTGTTCTCACCGCAGGTCATAAATCTGCTCCAATCCGTGGGGATGGCTTGATCTGGGCGCTGTACGTGGCGACGGATGTGTCCAGCGGATGCATGCGAACGACTCTGCCTCTCAAACGACTTGATGGAGTTGGTGTGGTACTCGTCGGCTACAAAGTCTAATCGGCTAGACCTATGGGACACGAGAAGCTTCACCAGGTACTTCAATACCTGTTCGCTTAGCTGGCCGAATGTCGGCGGAAGTGACGTCTGAGCTCGTAGCATGGCCATTGCATCAATTACGAGCGCACACCCATCAGGAATCGAGTTTGCAGCCTCAGCTACGTCCTCGACTTGCTCAAGCAATGCCATGAGCTTCGACTTCTGCGTGGTAACTGGAGTGCCGTCACCCTGGGCTAGTGATAGCGGAAGTGTACCCAGCTCGTGCGTGAGCAGCAACCTCATGTCAATGGTTCTCACCTGCGCCATGACAACAAGTTGCTGGAACAGCTTAACCTGCTGCAAAGCAGTATCAGCTCGACAAGCACGTGAGGACTTCTTCCTCTTGGCGGGGGCCTTGAACGTCTCCAGTTTGTTCTTTTTCAAGACGTCAGAGATGCTGCTTCCATCGGTGACCATCCTGTTCGCAATGAACTCCTGCACAGCATTCTCTCCGACCGTCTGCGCCGCATGCAAATCCTTCTGCACACTAGCTGAGGGCACATCTCTCGTGGCAAGGTTGACAAGGTCACCTGGCTGATAGGGGTTTCCGTACTCACTCAGCACCTTGCCGATGGCCTCAACATCATGCTGGTCTCTCGTCATACGGTGCTTGGTGCTGTCCTTGTGGGTAGTCGATGAGTTGTCTCGGTCGAGACCTGCCAAGCTGTAACAAGCTGATGTAACAGCGGCACATTCATGCGCAGTTAGCACCCAACGTTCCACGGCGCCTTTGTTTCGTGAGAAGCCGACAATTCCACCAGGTGTTTTGCTGTCCCTGTTGAATGTCTGCTCGATGGTTTGATCGACAGGGACCTTGGCGAAGGACTTGGAGGAACGCGTTGCTGTGAAGTCTCCAGCCTTTAATGCTTCCGAAGCGGACGGGTTCGTATCGGGCAGTCGTACCATGTCGCACCAGTACATTGTGAGGTAGCGGGCATAGTGTTGGTGGTCGTACGCATAAAACCACGGCAAAAGCTTCCGAACACATGCCAGATGCAGATTCCAGTCTCCAGTGCGAGTCGCTCGAATAAATTGCAGCAACAAGCTGATCATCTCCAGGTAAGACAGCCAATAGGAAGCCATGGACGGCTTGCTTGCCTCCTGCTGGCTAGATCTGCAATAGTCTGCCTTCAGTACTGCGAATGCCGATGACTTGGTTGCCATGCTTGCAGCATCATAAATTCCGCTGTCACGGAGGGCACAGATTGCATCTTCGATGTGCTGAAGGTCGCCACCATTCTCTGCGTGTTCCAGGGTTCGTTCAAACACTTCCCAGCGACATTGCCACAGCGCTTCGAATGCCAGCTTGTGCATGCGAATGGCACGGTTGTAATGCTTGCCAGATAATGCCGCTCTGCAAGCACTCGGGCCGACAACACCAGCATCAACGAGGAGGTCACTCAGGCCACCGTCCGCGAACCGCTTTCCGATGACTCCAAGAAATGAGAGTATGGTGTGAAAACTGCCCATGCGCAGCACAACTTCCGGGTAAGCGTCTCTCTTCTGCGACATCACTTGCACTGCCTTCGCATACATGGCTTGGTCACACGTCAAGATGCAGTGTGACTGACCATGACTGCGTGCCATAAGCACACATCTCTGGATGACCTCTCCAACAACAGCACCATCTGTAGGTGATTCGGGGATTAGCGGCAGGTAAGCGATACGGGTAACTGGTTGCACTGCCGTGCATGCAACGGATGCGTTGAAGCCAGACCAGGGTGGTACTTCCTGAGGCTCAGCAGCACTACGGCCAAACCGTGATGTTGCCTGCGTGCTTCGCAACAGCAACCAAACGATGTCCAGATCCTCTCCTGGTGCTAGTGCATCAGTCGACTGGGTTTCCGTTAGACCACTAGCTGAGAGATGAGGTGATGCTATGGATCTAGGCGGCACGAAAAGTGGTAGGGTCAACCGCTCTGAAGGGATCAGAGCCCTAGGCCGCCGGCTACTGCGGAGTAGAGGACCGTTTGCAGCACTCACGTCTGGTGTTCTGCCTGGTGCGGGTAATTCTGGACTTGGATGGTTGTTCTGCAGAACGATCGTGGCAGTTGCGTGCATAGTCCCCTTCCCATCTAGCGTTTCTTCATTCCGATCGTTGTTGTCCGAGCAGAAAAAAATGGCATTGTTCGGGGTCACGGTGCTTGGAAGGCGTGTCTCTGAGTGCCTAACCTCCATGGCAAGAGCGGTTTCCACCTCAGATACCCTTGTTGCTGACACAGAGTGACCGAATCGGTTCAGCATTGTCACCAACTGCTGCGACCGGGTCAGATGGCGTGTCGTCATGGCCAGTGCAATGTGTTTTGGTGGCACCACTCTTCCATTGCTGGCGGCGTACACAATATCCTGGGATATAGAATCCACCAGCCTGCCCACTCTCTCGTTAACTTCTGCACGCCCGCCAACACAAGCCTCTACGTCTGGACCGCCTATGACCCACGCAAGAAAGTTGTGAAGGACGACAGGGACGCAGCGTGCAACTGACTCTTTGGTTATTTCAGTGGCATGGGGTGTGGAGGTCAGGACCGGCTCAACCTCTCTGACGGCATGGTGCACCATAATGGCGGCATGAAACAAATCCATTTCAGATGTTGCCGGCGCAGCTGACGCCATGAAGACCTCATCGTCTTCTTCTGTTCGCCCTCCGAGATCGCCAATCACAGATGTCATCAAGCCAATATAGTTCTCCTCACTGAGGTGAGCGGCAATCACCTTCTCCGGCTCCGTGACAGAGGAGCGAACGAACTTCACCCGGCCTTGGTACTGATTCAGTATCCTCGCTTTGACCAGCTCCGTTTTGTAGTTAGGGCTTGGCCTGCCGAGTGCTTCAAGCCTAGCAACGAATTTGCTGCGCAGAAACTGAATGGTGACAGCTCGTATGCCTCCTCTCCCATCTTGCTGCAAGATCTCGTTGTCGATGACATCAGCGACAACATCGAAGGCCTGCTGGTATATCGATGCAGTCTCAGATCGCTCCCGGCTCGACTGTGTAGTACAGAGGGTGAACTTGGCATAGCACGAGCGATGGTAAACAGTATCTGTAGCGATACAATCCGGATTACTCTGGACCTCCAGGAGTATGCGGGCATCTTCCTTCTCCAACGCAGCGTCCAGAATCCTCTGCGCTGCGTCAAAGCTCTCGCACACTGACAGCTTTTCAGCTGGCTTCCCTCGCTTCCGCTTGCTCTGTTGTTGGCAGAACAAACACAGCTCTTTCCGTGTTGGCTGTGGCGCTGTGCTACGTGTACATGGCCTTTTCGGAGGTGGTGGCTGATCATCCTCATCTGAGGCTGAGGAATCAGAGCAAGAACTGTTGGCATTTGCTTGGGCTTTTGAGATTCTCTCGAGACTTTTCTTGTGCGTGTACTTCCTGTAACACTCTACATGTACAAACCCACGAGGTTCAGCATTCTCATCTGCGCAATTCTGTTGAACCAGGAAGGCACAAGTTGCATCCTGCCGTAACAATGCTGCTTTCACGATTCTCGGCCAAGACACATCTGTAACATTCCGCTGATTGGTAGCGCCAGGGCAGCAGTGGCACAAGCATCGCTCCCAAGACATACCAGCTGCAGGAACAGTGGGATACATGCAAAGGCAGTCCGGGCTGTTTGTTCAAGAGCTTCAAAACTAACAAATTTAAATTACAAAATAAACTCACCTGCGTTCTCCTCATTTCCTCGTCGTGTCGGCTCGCATAAAACCAGAATGCTACTGCTGGGTGAGGGGTCCGCACAGTCCTCGTCCTCGGTGCTGCTCTCCTCACTCTCCATTCTACCTCAATACACCTGACGATAACTAAAAACTGTCGTGTGGTCGAAAGGCAAGGACAATTGTCATCTATACTTCGAGTGCCTTTTGTTGAGAATTGAATTCAAATTTTCCCGGGGGCCGGCGTCGTCATTCACATCACCTGCTCAGGTATTCAAATTTGTGCGGCTTTGAGCAGCGCATGGGGTGCGTATTGTTCGAACCTCGAAATCAAAAGTCGACGATTTCGCGAGGTTGTGCACAGCTCCGCGATGGCCAACTACGCCAGGTACAATCCCAAAGGGGCTGCCTGCCAGCATACAAACTTTCAGCTTGTCAGCATAAAAAGGAAACGTAAAACAGGCTTTTGAAAATCGGCAGTCAGACTAATCCTGACGCGGATCAAGCCAGCTATCAATGGGTACTTGTCACTGAACCAGAGCGGGTTCCGGTCAGGGAGAAGTACTGGAGACGTGGTATATAGCTATCGGTGGTTATCAGCAAGATGCCAGCGTGTTGCGTCGGAGATCTCAATCTTAGGCATTGATATGTCGAAGGCATTTGACACTATATCAAGGGTCAGGCTGATCGATATACTGTCAACAGTCATTGATCATGATGAGCTGCACATCATCCAGTGCCTTCTGACAGACACCACAATAAAAGTAAAGCTGAATAACATTCTCAGCCAACCATTAGTCACACATAATGGAACCCCACAAGGTGATTCTCTATCGCCAGTCCTGTTTACTGTCTACCTCGAGGCTGCATTGAGGTTGATTCGAGAGCGACTCTCACCGCGACCAGCATTGGATATTCAGCTTCAATTGCCCAATGAAACAGCGTATGCGGATGACGTAGACTTCATCAGCACCAGCCTACAATATTTGCATGACAATCAACCCATACTATCATCCTCGTTAGCGGAATACAATTTAAAAATGAATGAAGCCAAAACCGAATATACTACAATTAAAAGAGAAAAGGACAGAGTAGACGAGCGATGGCGGAACACGGTCAAACTAGGATCGATGCTTGGAGTGGAGGAAGATATCAGTCGGAGAAAACGTCTAGCAACATGCGCCTTACATCAGCTGTGGGTGATATGGCTAAGAGGTAACCATGCCCGTGAACCCCTTCGGATTAGGTTATACGGCAGCTTTATTCTCCCAATACTTCTTTATAACTGCGGCACATGGAGCCTGACAGAGACTCAAGAAAAGAAACTTGACTCGTTCCACCGCCAGCAGTTACGAGCAGTCATAGGGGTCAAATATCCCCGTATAATACGCAATGAAGCACTGTACAAGCGCACTGGCTCCAAGCCACTCAGCAGAATCATCCAGTCTGCTAGGTGGAGAATGTTTGGCCACATGCTTCGACTAGATACCTCATCCCCGGTCCAGCAGGCTATGTCAGCATACTTTCAGCCAGGAAGCTCAGGGTTCCGAGGCCGCCCGAGAACAACACTCCCGCGATCCATCAACAACGACCTGAAAAATTCCAGATCCACAAACTCCCTCACATCACACGAGGATCTAGTTGCACTGAGGCAGCTCGCCCAGGATCGTCGAAAGTGGAAGGAACTAATGTGTGCTGTGTGTAATGGCTGAAGTTATACAATTACACTAGATACCCTTAACAATAATAACGGATACAATTACACTAGATACCCTTAACAATAATAACGGATACAATTACACTAGATACTCTAGATACTAGATACTCGGTACTCTAGATACTAGATACTCTAACAATTTTATCAAACATTATGATAATTACCACATCAAATGCTGCGGAGACCTATCCAGAATCGGCAATATGCTGGCCCTGGCCTGGAGATCTGCAACTATAATCAGCTTCTACTTTGCAACACTAACGGATTAGTCCCCTTTGTCGATTGATGGATCAATCGGTAGATTCGGCTCTGTTTTTCTTTCCTTTCTTTCTTGTTTTGAATTGTACGTTGAACTCATTGGATTTCTTTGTATTCTGTATCTCGTTATCGTTATATTTCCCTCTAGCCCTCTCGCTTAGGATGAGCTTTCTTTTTATGGCAGCTTAAGCGAAGGCTATATACCTGCTTTATGCAGGTTGATGCCAACGCGAACAAGCAAAATAATAATAACATGTAGGTTCCTGTCGTGCAATGTCATCGCATGAGCTGATTGTTTTTATAGTGACTGGTGGTGTTAGTGGACATTATCTGTATTCTGCCAATTTTTCTGGTGGCATTATCCGCCAGGGCTTCCCCGGGATAGGCCAACCCGGGCTGCCCCCTCTGCACACACCAGTGGCAATGCAAGTAATTACAGTGGTCCCTCTATAATCCGGCACCATTTGTGCCACGGAAATCTGCTGGATTAGGGAGGGTGCTGGATTAACAAATCGGATTTACTGCTGCAATGTGCCTGAAGAGGACATTTTGGCTACTGAAAATTGTGCTGGTTTATCGAGGGTGCTGGATTATAAAGTGCTGGATTAGAGAGGGACGACTGTAGTTCCATTCACTGCGAACATCCGGGGAGTGCGGGGATCCCGGGCTTGAATCCCGGCCCCCTGGACTGGGTACGAGTACCTGATCTGAGCTGATCAGACATGCACGTGCACATGCATGGCCGGCCCCAGGGAGTCGTAAAAGCCCGGGAGAGGACACGGGATGCGCGCACGCGGACGATGTTTGCCTCGGCCAGAAAGTGAAGCACGCTAGGCCGGCGCGGCCGGATCTGCTCGATCCACGGCGCTGTGCTCGTCTTCAGGGAAGGGAGTCCTAAAATACCAATATTTTACAACTCGTTGTTGACACCATTATCCGAAACTGGTGGCGAAGGAAGCATAAACATGATTGTGTGTCAGTCTGTCAGACTCAGTACACATGGTACAGGGGGTGGGGAGTTGAGTGTGTGTGTGTGGGGGGGGGGGCGTGTGTATGTGCACATGTTGTTGTTGTTGTTGTGTTTCTTTTAATTCGCAAACCAAACGGGCAGATCTGCCCAATGAAAAGGTGGCGAATGCAGATAGAAAGCAGTAATAAATGAAATTGGGGACTGATGTAATTAGGATAGAGGTGGAGAAAAACTAAGCCAGCTGATCATCAAACAGGACGTCTGGTACTCTAGGTACTAAGGCCAGTAAGTGTGTGCGGGATCATGCTGGCGCGGAACTGGCGGAGCGTGGAGATGGCACGTATATCGCTGGGTAATGTGTTCCACAGCTGGGCGCCCCGGAACGCGAGGCAACCCTTGCCGAACCTGGTGGAAACTGGCGGTTGGCGCAGACCCATGGTGGAGTGCAACCTAGTTGGGCCAGCTGCCGAAGGAACTAGGAGGGCTTGCAGTTCAGAACTTGCGTGCTCATTCCGAGACCTCCAGACCAGAACGATGAACTTCTGCCTGAATATCTCGGATACTCTGTAGGTGTCCAATTGCAGCAGGAGGGTACGCGCGGAGGTGTGATGCGAGAGTCCGAAAACCGCCCTTGCCGCCCGATTCTGCATGACTTGTAGCCGATCCAATTGGTTGGCAGTAAGAAGCGGGGAAAACGCATTGGATCCGTACATCAGGTCAGACATGATGATCGCTTTAAAGTAGAGAACTCGGCTCTGATGAGTCAAGCAGCGACGCAACCTCCATAGTGCTCCGATCCTCTGGGCCAGTCGAGCGGTGCAGCGATCAACATGGGGCGTCCATGACAGATCCGAGTCGAGGAGCACTCCAAGATACCTGGCCGCAGTAACGACAGGAATCGGCGTTTCATGACAGTTTACATTGATCGTATGCTGGGGCTGCTGAGGCTGCCTGTTTGTGCTTGTACTTTTGTGTGTGTTTGTACAGTGTTTGTGTGTGTGTGCGCGCGCACGCATGCGTGCGCATTTTTGTGCACAATTCCGTTATGAAGTACAAATGATAGGTTTACCTTTTGTACACTCGCCAAGACTTCGGTTAGATTCACTGAGAACCTTTCTGGCCAACCTGGAGGCTGAGCCTTCCGTTTCCTAAACGGCTAAAGTCACCGGGTACTCAGTATACGAGTAGAAAAGTGTAGAAAATTTTAACAAGATCTATAAATAACGACCTTGAAGTGCTCCGTGACGCGCTCTGCCTTCTGCTTATCTGAAGCCAAAATGTGGCCATCAGCAGAGCTGACCATGATACTGGATGGCTGAGATCCACTTTTCATGGCCGAAGCAGCAAGGAACATCTGTGCTGAGTCAGGTGCCTGCTCCACCTTCTCTGCCAGTCTGTCGAGGCGTTCATTGGCATCCGCCCGCTGAATGCAGAGCGCGTCACGGAGCACTTCAAGGATCTATTCTGTAGAGATCAATCAGCTGCTATCCAGAAGCCAGTCCCTCACCGGCTAAGTGTGGCAGTGTCTCCAGCGGAGGTGGAAACAGCGATGAAACGACTCAAAAACGGAAAGGCTTGTGGGCCGGACAAAGTCCCTGGAGAATTACTGAAGTATGGAACATCACAGCTATCCATCGTAGCGGCAGACATCATCAACCAAAGCGTAGCAGAGGGTGCCGACATGTCATCGTTCATCGGACTTGGCACACTGATTCCTTTACAAAAACCAAAAAAACCTAGAGGACCCGTGACTAGCCTGCGTCCCATTGTCCTCCTGAACACCATCCGAAAAGTTTTCTCCCTTGTAGTGCTCTGCCGAATCGCAAAGGACGTTGCTCGTTATGTTGGTCCAACTCAATCTGGCTTCAGACAAGGCCGAAGTACAACAGATGTGGTATGGACACAGCGATGGATTGCGGCCAAGGCGACTCGATACAACTGGGAATGCCACATGCTGGGGATTGACATGTCCCGTGCGTTCGACACGATCGATCGCACCAAACTGTTAGACGTCGTGGCATTAGTGACTGGCCCCGATGAAGTGCGCATGATCCAGCACCTACTGTTCCACACACAAATATCAGTGAAAGTAGGAAAGGCAACTGCCAATCCGTTTCTCAGCACCATCGGCACCCCCCAGGGAGATGGCTTGAGCCCTGTTCTTTTTATTTGTTACCTGGAGGCAGCACTGCGCCAAGTGAGAGCAAACCTTCCCGAACGCCCTTTCGCCGACCGTCACATACCCGGAGAAACAGGTTACGCCGATGATGTGACATTGTACTCAACCAGTGAGGAGTGGCTGAAGCGAAGCCTCCCCATCATTAGCGCAGAACTCGGGGATTGGTCCCTTACAGTAAACGAGACCAAGACCGAATTCTTGCATCTGACATCAACTTCAGACTCCTGGCGGTCCAGCAGGCAGCTAGGGTCCCTCATTGGCGACAGTGAGGACCTGGAGCGGAGGAAAGACCTCGCTTCGAGTGCATACGGCAGGATGTATAGCCTCTGGCTGAGGCGTGGGAAGGTCAGTGAGCAGAGGCGCATCCGCCTGTATAATGCCCTGGTTCTGCCCGTTCTTTTGTATAACTGCGGCGCATGGGGGCTCACGGCAGCACAAGCAGAATCGCTTAACGTTTTCCACCGGAAGCAGCTCCGACGGCTCATTGGCATAGTCTACCCAGCCAGGATATCAAATACTGAGCTGTATGAGAGGTGCAACACGGAACCACTATCTGACATCGTGGACAGGAGAAGATGGCAGCTAACCGGCCATATTCTCCGTATGGACAGGGATGCGCCGCCATGGATCGCGCTGACGGGCTATTTTGCGGGAGATGCCAAGGCTGGGCGTGGACGTCCAAGGACATCCATTGCGACGCGCATCACAAGCGACTTACAGAGGAGGAACATCGACTTGAAGTGCAGCAGTCAGCTGGGGAATGTGAGGGCCATCGCTCTGGACAAGCCTACATGGAGAAATCTGGCCGACAATCCATGATCTGGCGTCACAGGTCATCAGTGCGCCGTGTTAATAATTACCTTGATAATGGAATTTGATCATAGGAGATAGGACAGAAGCGGAACGTATAATTATACCCACATAATTATATTATTACGCGTGCTGTGGTATTATTATTATTATTATAAATAACGACCTGCAACCATGTACAATGTAGATAGATAGGGAACACACATTGATTGTTTTTAAAAGAATCCAGGCAATATCATGAATCATGGAATGAGTGCGTAATAATGCTCTATGTTGCGTTTTGACGATGCTGAAGGAAGGGAGCCTTTGCGATTCACTCACAACACACGCACAGAAGTCCACTCGACTGCAATTTCAGTGCAATTTCTGCCACAAATTCATAAATCCACGAGTACGAGGAAGCTCAGCGGATCTCAACACGAACGTTCGCCCATCACCTGCAATGGAATATGGGCTGTATGATACGGCCAGCGGCTAGCACGGGAAGTGGCGTCATTTTCCACAAAATAATCTCGTTTCATTCACAACCATTTGACTGCAATTCAGTGCAATTTCTGCCACAAATTCAACTCCACGAGTACGAGGAAGCTCAGCGGATCTCAACACGAACGTTCGCCCATCACCTGCAATGGAATATGGGCTGTATGATACGACCAGCGGCTAATACGGGAAGTGGCGTCATTTTCCACAAATCTCATTTCGTTCACCCCAACTCAAATAAAATTGAAGTACAATTAGGGATTTGCATTTCCATCGCCTCAGAATAAATTAACTTCGATAAACTGAGAGAGAATGAGTAAGGCAGCTGGAAGAATTGAGGATGAAAATAGAGATCAGAAGACTCGACGGAGCAATCGTCTCCGTGCTCTAAGAGAAATCGGAGAATGTCCCAATTAGTATTTCAAGAAGACATCACAATTTTCGAAAATAATAATTTCCTTGCCTCGCAACACCGTTCCCTGGCAGCGTTCCCCGGCAGCGCGAGGCAAAGATGTTTTCTGGGAATGTGTTAGGGGCCGTCCGTAAATATCGATGTTTTTTTAGAGACGATATTGGTGCTTCTCTCCCTTGACCCCCCCCCCCCTCCCCCCAGAAGACGCACATGTACATCTAGATCATGGAATCAATATTTTTGGATGCTCATTTTTTCAAATCCTTGTTCAGACAGTGAAGACTGGAAACTCTTGCGGAGTTCGTCCGTGTTTGTTCGCACTGCCTCTACGTCTTGAAAAAGGTCTCCTGCAGGCATCGTTCGGCCGATTTCCACAATCAATAGCTCATTCTTTTGCCCTTGAAATTCGCCATGGGCGTACAGCTTCCAATTTTTGATTTTGTTCTTGTGTCGCGAGTTTTAGCTCCGCGAACGGAAGCTGGTTTCACATTTCTTGTATAGCCATTTGGACGTCCGCGTGCAGGGATCGGCGAAACTTCAGATATTTACATCGATATTTTTCTGATGCTCGAAAAGACGCACATGGCTCAAACCCCCTCCCCCCCAGACGCACCAATATCGTCTCTAAAAAAACATCGATATTTACGGACGGCCCCTTATGTGCCGTGTCCTCTCCCGGGCTTTTACGACTCCCTGGCCGGCCCCATGCCGGGCCATGGCACGATCCGATCTTGTCCATTCAAAATTTTGAAAATGGAATCTATGAAAGCATGAAAGCTCTAGAAACCAACTACTAGTATTACTACTAAATACTCATGTAAATATTTGGGGAACGAGTGAAGTAACACGTGTTAGTTCGAGCCCGACTATCAACATAAAGGTATGGCTTCTCCTCCTGTGGATCGGACTCCATCAGCGGAGAAAGGACCGACGGCGAGCGTTGCAATGCGTTCGGTCATGGCAGGTATCCGCCACTCCTTTCCCACTGTGCAGCAGATGAGTACGAGGTCTCTCAGTGATCGAATCCGTCCCGAGCAAGCCGAGCCGAACATGTCTCGCCCTGATGTTGTTTTATTGGTAAGAACTACAATGTACAACTATTACTTGCTGAAGAATAAGTACGAATGGTTCATGTAGCTCATCTGGGCAAATCGCCTTGCACATGAATTCTAAAACGACACCCAATACTAGTACGTAAAATTCACACAGCAAAATAGTATTGTCCAGACTCCACTGTAGTCTCATCTCCACGTGAAAGCCCAAATTAAAGCAGAGAAGGAGCAGGAATGACCTTTGACTTGCTTGGATAAGCAGGAAAACCTGGCCCGTTTCACTAATATGTCTTCAAGGCAATCCGCATTGGTGCAGCAATGCAGATATGGGAGCCCTCCCCCAGGAAAATTGGGCCCAAACAGCCTATGTTTTATTGCTTCTAAAATCACGCGCCCCTGACCTCTTTAGAATAGCCCTGTAACTCTTCCCGTTCAAGTTTGAAGTCAGAAAAACGTGTGAATATAAGGGAATTTGCTTCTCAGCCAGAGGATCCGCAAATTCAAACTAGACTAGCCAGAATGGATAGTTTGCCAGTCTGTTATAAACACAAAGAGATACTGTACTTAGCACTTAATTCAGGGCGGATTGAACCAGGTGCATATAGGCCGATTCATACTTCATTTCGCGTACGGGAAAGTCATCGCGCGACCGATGGCTTTCCCGTACGCGAAATAGTTGAGCTCAGATCAAATTTTTCGCGACGCGACGCGTTTCCCGGACGCGAACTGAAGTATGAATCAGGCTTATCCCACACCCGCTTGTTCTCTGAGATGGTCCTCGTGAACAAGTACAATACAAAAAAAACACTCAAAACCGAGGAGATTTTCGATCAACGTCTATAAAATGAATCGCCTACGGTGCCTGCACCCGTGTCTGTACAGCTGCATGTACACGACACAGTTGGCAGTCGGCTGAGTCATACAGCTCTACACGCACATGCGCACAGTCACTGAGTGCACAGCCAAAGTCATAAAATACCAACTCCCTGTTGTACTGGAGAATCTAGGCGGCCTTTCGTGAACCCAATTATAAATAACTGCTTCAGCACCAGGCGTTTTTTCCCGGATTCTGTAAGGCCTAAGGGGCCATGCGGCATTATCGATAATTTTCATGGAACAAAAGGTTTTAGTTACAACCCCCCCCCCCTGAATGAAAAATATATAATTATTGGCTTTGACAGCGAGAATGGATCGATGTTTATACTATCAATATTTTTCCAAACGAAACTCTCCTCGACCCACCCTTAAACGAAACTTTTTGTTTTGTGTGAAAGATCGATATTTGAGAGGTTAAGCTGCACGCTATTTTTGACGAGACGCGCAATTTCACGTCAAATTGGGCGTGAAGCTCCGAATTGCGACCTCAGCTGCAGGTCACTCGCTTTGTTTTCCAATGCGCGGGCCAAATAACGCTAGCTGAACTTTCGCGTCACGTCTAAAATAATGTGCAGCTTAACCGCTCGAATTACGGACGGCCCCTATTAAAAGTTATGGGCGTGTTTGGTTGGTGTAACTTTGAGCAATATCCGCCAGAACAGCGTGCTTGGCTGGGACTGCACATGCACTGGATCGGCCAGAACGTGTTCTGCTTGCCGCGGCCTCGAGGCGAGAGCAGTTGTAGAGCAGATTTAATTTTCACAGTGAAACCAGGCAGGAACGGGAACACCGATGTTGTCCAAAATGATCACGTGCATGCTCCTTTGCGTTGTAGTTGGCGTGCACTCTTTGTACCGCACGAAGTGACTCGCACACACTTTAACGGATGCTGTCCGTTTTGCGCCAGTTTTTGCCCAAATGTCGTCTGTTTCTGGAGTGTCGTTTGATCGGCATGAGGCTGCTCCTTGTGCCCCAGCTGTTCGATCCTGTTCTAGATCTTGCCAACCAAATACACCCAAGGCAAACGGTGGTTCATTATGAGAACGAAAATAAAATCAATTGTTGGTCTTCCCATTACGAAGATGAATGACATGTGGTTGGGCCGTCTTGACTGAACTTTCTTTCCCTTATACTGGTTTGTGTGTGCATGTGTCGCACGTGCGTGTGTGTGTGTGTGTGTATCTGTGTGTGTGTGGGGGGGGGGGTCATGTTGTTGACGCAGGATACTCGTGAGTTAGCTGAATACAATGTCAGTCACTTGCCTGGAGCAAAGAGACTGGACCCTTCCATCAGTGACTCCGACCTTGCTTCATTTGTGGACGATCTACGACGTAAGTGCCCTTCAACTTGGCTGTGTGGCTATTTGTTTGCATGTGTATGTCTGTGCCTGTGCCTGTACCTGTGTGTGTGTGTGTGTGTCTGTCTGTGCCTGTACCTGTGTGTGTGTGTGTGTGTGTGTGTGTGTGTGTGTGTGTGTGTGTTTGCGGATGCGCGTGGACATCCGATTGTTTGGCGTCTGACTTGATTTTCTGGGGTGGGTCAGCCCCGCCTTGGCTTTGCTTGTGTGCTGTCGTTTGTGTCCAGCTGCTGTTGTAGGTTTTATCTAATAATGCTCACTATCTTTGCTGTCTGCTACTGTGCAATGGTGCAGAAAGACAGCCGGATGCGGTGGACAAACCTCTTGACCTTGTGTGCTACTGTTCGGTTGGCTATCGCTCGTCCAAGATGGCATCTCGACTTCAGAAGTTGCTGCGACCTCCACCAGTGGCCCGGGATCAAGCCAGCGCTAGTGCAGGGCAGCACAGTTCTGCCCAGACATCAGCAAAGCAATCAAGCAGCTCCCCCGACTGTGCGGCCGCTACGGCGCGCCCTGTTGCCAGTGTGTTCAACCTGGAGGGCAGCATGTTCCAGTGGGCCAACGAGAACCGCCAACTCTGCTCCGCCGGCACTGCCGCAACTCGCCAAGTGCATCCGTACAGCGTGGTCTGGGGACGCCTGGTCGATCGTGACCGGCACAACTGGGGAGCTAGCTAAACAGGCATGTAGCTCGTGTGCAGTCAGCGTTGTCTGGTCACCACACCAGCAAAATGGCCGCCATACGTACATATACTACATAGTCAAAACCAGGGAGTCGTAAAAGCCCGGGAGAGGACACGGGATGCGCGCACGCGGACGATGTTTGCCTCGGCCAGAAAGTGAAGCACGCTAGGCCGGCGCTGCCGGATCTGCTCAATCCACGGCGCTGTGCTCGTCTTCAGGGCAGGGAGTCCTAAAATACCAATATTTTACAACTCGTTGTTGACACCATATCCGAAACTGGTGGCAAAGGAAGCATAAACATGATTGTGTGTCTGTCTGTCAGACTCAGTACACATGGTACAGGGGGTGGGGAGTTGAGTGTGTGTGTGTGGGGGGGGGGGGGGGAGGCGTGTGTATGTGCACATGTGCTTGTACTTTTGTGTGTGTTTGTACAGTGTTTGTGTGTGCGCGTGCGTGTGTGCGCATTTTGTGCACAATTCCGTTATGAAGTAGAAATGTTCACCTTTTGTACACTCGCCAAGACTTCGGTTAGATTCACTGAGAACCTTTCTGGCCAACCTGGAGGCTGAGCTTTCCGTTTCCTAAACGGCTAAAGTCACCGCGTACTCAGTATACGAGTAGAAAAGTGTTGAAATTTAAGATTTATAAATAACGACCTGCAACCATATACAATGTAGATAGATAGGGAACACACATTGATTGTTTTTAAAAGAATCCAGGCAATATCATGAATCATGGAACGAGTGCGTAATAATGCTCTATGTTGCGTTTTGACGATGCTGAAGGAAGGGAGCCATTGCGATTCACTCACAACACACGCACAGAAGTCCACTCGACTGCAATTTCAGTGCAATTTCTGACACAAATTCATAACTCCACGAGTACGAGGAAGCTCAGCGGATCTCCACAAGAACTTTCGCCCATCACCTGCAATGGAATATGGGCTGTATGATACGACCAGCGGCTAACACGGGAAGTGGCTTCATTTTCCACAAATCTCGTTTCATCAAGTTCACAACCATTTGGCTGCAATTTCAGTGCAATTTCTGCCACAAATTCAACTCCACGAGTACGAGGAAGCTCAGCGGATCTCAACACGAACGTTCGCCCATCACCTGCAATGGAATATGGGCTGTATGATACGACCAGCGGCTAACACGGGAAGTGGCGTCATTTTCCACAAATCTCGTTTCCGATTCACAACCATTTGACTGCAATTCAGTGCAATTTCTGCCACAAATTCAACTCCACGAGTACGAGGAAGCTCAGCGGATCTCAACACGAACGTTCGCCCATCACCTGCAATGGAATATGGTCTGTATGATACAACCAGCGGCTAACACGGGAAGTGGCGTCATTTTCCACAAATCTCGTTTCATTCACAACCATTTGACTGCAATTCAGTGCAATTTCTGCCACAAATTCAACTCCACGAGTACGAGGAAGCTCAGCGGATCTCAACACGAACGTTCGCCCATCACCTGCAATGGAATATGGGCTGTATGATACGACCAGCGGCTAACACGGGAAGTGGCGTCATTTTCCACAAATCTCATTTCGTTCACCCCAACTCAAATAAAATTGAAGTACAATTAGGGATTTATCTTGCATTTCCATCGCCTCAGAATAAATTAACTTCGATAAACTGAGAGAGAATGAGTGAGGCAGCTGGAAGAATTGAGGATGAAAATAGAGATCAGAAGACTCGACGGAGCAATCGTCTCCGTGCTCTAAGAGAAATCGGAGAATGTCCCAATTAGTATTTCAAGAAGACATCACAATTTTCGAAAATAATAATTTCCTTGCCTCGCAACACCGTTCCCTGGCAGCGTTCCCCGGCAGCGTGAGGCAAAGATGTTTTCTGGGAATGTGTGCCGTGTCCGATCTCCCGGGCTTTTACGACTCCCTGGTCAAAAGAGGCAAAATAGCACCTACATGTATGAGGTTGCCGATGGTACATACCTGTAGTCACCACACCACGGATGTACATGTAGAGGGGACGGTTTCAAATAGGACATAGGTTGCAAACCGGAACGGACTCAATATTCACTTTCTCTCTTGGTATTTTGATTAGAAAACATATGTCACAGTGAGACTACGATGTGTTATACTCCGAGCCAAAATTTCATGGCTCTGCGATGACCAGAAGCGCCATATCAAGCAGGTGAGTTTTTGACGTGTTGCTTCGCACTGCGACTTGAGTTTTACGACTTTTGAAAAATCAACTTCTTGTCGCAGGTAAACAGCGGCTCGCCTCTCGCCAATAAAGCACCGCATACCAATCAAAACTAATGGAAGCACACACAAGGCTTATTGTTACTCTGTACTGGCCGTCGTGGAGCGATAGCAATTACCTAATTTCAGACCCAGAGTGAATTTGACGTGCACTCTAAAACGTGTCCGGTTTGGAGCCACCTCTGATTTGAACTTTTTTGAAGCGAAAAATTGGGCCACTTGGAGGCAATGGGTCAACACAAAGAAGTGGCTCAGTTCGATTGACTCTGGCCCCAGAGCAAACTTCAACATGCCAGTTTCCTTCCACAAACATATTTCGAGTGAAAAATCAACGTTGATGATCGGTTTGGGTCTATACAAATTTGGCTGTCAAAGCGTCCCAGTATCGAGCCGTCCCCTCTACAAACTGATACGTACACCACAGATGTGAGAGCCACCTCCCCCCCCCCCCCTCCGTTAAGGGGGAGGGGGGGGCTGCTGAACTGGCCACAACTTGACAGGTGATGGTGCACCGTGCCGAGTCATAGTTCTACTTAGGCTGTGCTCGCGTCCAAGTTCAGGCCCGAGTGTGAGCTCCGAGGACGTCAGAGACACCTGGCATTATGCTTGACGAGTTTGGACAGAAGGACCCAGCTAGAACCATATTTTGTGTGTTTCCTTTTTGGACGAAACACAAACGTGCAAAATATAGCGTCGCTGGCCTCAAGAAGCACAATTCTCGATCCGCAGGCCATGTACTTGTAGCTGCTGCGACACTGTAATACACATGTACTTGCCATGCCCTCCCCCCCCCCCCCCCCCCCCCCGTCAGTTGAGCCTTCTTATCATGTGCCTGTATTGAAAAAGCGTACCATGCTCCTTACGTCAAGTCGCCCAATTCATTTGCAAATTTGCACTGACTCACGCTGTGCACTTTGCGCCCATTAATGGTTCCGCTGACTCAACCAACGAAATCATTCCTATGTCGGAATTAAACCTTTATTCTGGCTGTCTGCTCCCTAGCTTAGCCTAGCCTAGCCAAGTGCGTTTAGCCACCACCACCACCACCCTGACTTAATTTATCGCGGTAACCATACGAGTAGTCATGGTAACCATGCACATTGTACAATGAAATTCATTCGCATTCATGGGCCCAATGCTACTATCACTATGGGGTGCAGCTTGCTTTGATGGTATTATTAGCTATGCCTGGCTCACTCTAGTCCGATTTTTCGGCCAATATTGAATACTATGTACACTGTAAGTACAAATTTTCATTCACGAAATCTTTCGTTAGATCACTCCACCGGCAGGTTCGTAATACGTTCTAAATTTCGTTTTCGGTCGAGGTCTCTCACCTCGAACGTTCAGAAGAAAAAACTTTAGTTTGGTACGAGGTGAATAGCAATTTCTGGACATGAAAATAAAATAGAGGCCCACTGGCTGTGTGTTTTACATTTTTCATATCTTTTTGTATCTATTGTATGGCCTAATCCTTCATCTTTCCAAATATGTGACAATTTCTCATGCTGTGATCCCAGAGACTTTATAGCAGGTTGTTTTCGACAGGCCAATTTTTTGGCCTAAATTTCAGTGTATGGAATTCTGGACATGAAAGTAAAATAGCGTCAATAGGCATCCTATACTGCACCATGTTTGTTATTTTTTCTATTGGTGGACTGCAGTTGGCCTCTTCACACTTCCAGCCAACAGGTCCAAGACTATACAGCGTCTGAAGTGGAGTGCACATGGAGAAGCCAACGATTCGTCCATTACTTTTTATTTTACTCAAAATTCAAAATTCTCATGCGACATAGTACCACAAAACTCGTAGAAATGCCTCCCAAGAAAAGGCTATCAACAAGGCACCGACACGAGGAGAAACTACAGCAGCCCAGCTGTCAACTACAACAAGAAAAAACTTCATCAACCTGATTGACTTGACTCTACACGCGACGAAAAATTATTTTACTCGAAATGTCCAGAAATGTACAATGTCCAGAAATAGCAATTCACCTCGTACATACTTTAGTTATTTCATGCCCCCTAACGAATATAGCGAAAGTCTATTCCGATTCCAAACGAAACTTTGTACTTATACATTAGTATGAAAAATCCACAAGAAGATAAGCACGAAATCGTGTGGACGGTCTTGTCGCACATGTTTCCTTTGTGTGTGTGCGTAAAGGTAGTCCAAGTCTGTCCGACACAGTCGGCCGATTTCAAGTCGATGTCGGAGCATCGGGCCGAAAAATCGGCCGTGAGCCAGGCATAAGAAAGACGACAGGGGACCTTTCCGGGGGTAAGTAACAATTGGGGATTGCAGGGGTGCAAACGTACCGTATTTCCCCGATTATAAGTCGCACTCAATTATGAGTCACAACCCCAGTTTCAAGTTTAGCCATAATTATTGATTTGATATAACTTCAGTAGTAAGTCATGCTCGATTGTAAGTCGCACCCCTTTTTTACCCTTGAATTTTAGTGTACAAAGGTGCGACTTATATTCGGGGAAATACGAGTACATGCACGCTAGGTCTCACTATTCTCCACTGTGTGGTCTTGCTGACTGGCTTCAGAGCTTTGGTCTGATGAGGAATGTTGCACAGACGCAAACGCTATACAGTTTGTCACCTAACCTCGTATTACCCAATCACTCCTATTGGCATTGCTAGCTCTCTAGACATCTAGGTGACGTCATTGACGATAAACTCAATTGACATAATACTCATGTCCCTCACTGCCGTCGTACACGTGTCCGAGCATCATGTTACTAGTAACCTTGGCAGCAAGGATGATCTATGCAGGGGAATAGAGGTCACGACCTGCTCCAGTGCAGATGATTATGAAAAGCACCCATACTGAGAGAGAAGAAATACTCTGGTGGACACGCACGCACGCCATGCCACATTGGCCAAAGCACTGCAAACCTGAACCAGTTACATGTATACATGTATACAAGGTTTCGGAACATGGTCCATGGCAGGTAAATGAATAATAATTATTGTGTCTTCAAAAGGCACAAAAGAGCTGTCTACACATAATCCATAGACTGAGGGTGATGAGCCAAAAAGGATGTGAATTGTGCGA